GTAAAATGGTAATGACTGTCATTACCAACCTAAACCTGCTTCGGAGGAACTAAAGTGTCTGCTTCTGCAACTAATCTCACCGGCCATCCCAACTCTACCAAATTATTACTTGCAGAATTTGCCGTGATCAGAGCACCTACCTGTTAAGAGTGTTATAAAAAAATAAAAATAGCTGTCATCTGGTTGTCACCTTTCATTAATTTCATCTGGTTTTTGTTTTCTTTCCTGTTGGAATTGATTTTGGTGGCTGATAGTCTAGGCTAATGAAGACAAAATAAATGCCTAGCACAAGGCACCAACCGCAGGTGTAGCGGTCGCTCCTTGAAGAGGCTGAAAATAGGATTATACCGCCACCTTGTGGTTAATAGTGGCACCTGCTTTTTAAAGTAAAAGGCCATCCGTGTTCTACTGATTGAATCACCTATTGGTTAGAAACATAAATGGATGTAAAAGGATAAGAGATTCTGGAGAAGAATAATTTTGCTCAAAATAATTATTCAGGCAAACTTTTAAGATCCTTTCAGAGGTTCCTCAACAGACGTTCTATAACCTCACGTACTGACCCTTCTTGGCCAAATGACAAATTCCCACAGTAGTTTGAATTCTATAAAATTGGGGTGGATGGATGGAACCATTGCCTATGTTACAACGATATCACACATTTGTTTTAAGTGACAGTCTCAGCCGTGACTGTATATCAGTGCAGCCAATAATGAAGTCTGTTCTAAAACAAAAATAACTGATGTGCAACTATTACTCTAAGTGAATATTATGATTTTCTGCAACTCATCTTGGTGCGGCATTTGGGTGCCGTCATAAATTTTAGTTGAGGTGCAATGAATGCTGTTCCTTTTCCCTATGTTAAGTAACTCATAGAATATTTATACGTGTGGTCCGACAACGAAATATCTTTGAAGCTTCGAGAAAATAATATTCTATAGTTGGATATAATTGTATTGAGTCACGTAAGAACAGGGTTAAAAGAAATAGGCTTAAATCTCTCTTAAATGAGAGATCACTGCAAATTGTTCATGTATTTCTGCTGGTATGGATTAATTCTAGGTACTCAGAAAATACCGCGCTTGATATAGGCATTAGCAGAAAATTAGATGGTCCTCAGGACCAGTAACAGTGTCATGGACTTTGGAGCCTTAGATCATCTTTTCCACATGGAACCTGGTCGGTAAAAGGGCACAGTGAGTGGTCTGGAAAATGTCATCATTGTGGCAGGAGTGTTCCTTTTCAGGGCGACTTTTTACTTCCCACACACTGTGCCTCCTGTCTTCTTATTCTGACTCTGTTGCTAATCCTGAGAGAAGCCTTTTGGCCACATGGAAAGACACTGACCCGCTCACTCCTCAGAACACACTAACTTGACCCCTGCGTTTAACCTCAGTGAAACCAGTGCGTGAGACAGGCCATCGCACTGCTCGGACAGCCCTGGACCATCCACACAAGGCCTGTGCTCCCATCCCCACCAAGAAAAAAGAACATGGAAGTCATATGTGCATCTGTGCAGGAGGGGGCAGCCCATCTACACACATGCGGGGGGACAGTCCTGTCTTAATTATAGATAAGACACCAAAATTTAAGGAGATGACCAGAGAAGGAATGGGCAAGAGAATTTGGAAATGGAAGTCCAGAGAAAAGAAGAGACCAGGAGAGAAGAATTTACGAGTGCAGACCTCTGAAATAGGAATAAACCCACCCGGGAGGTCCTGCTGTGAGTGAGAGTCAGAGGTCATGTATGTGTAAACCCCTGCACTCTGCCAGGCCTGCTGCGACCAGTGGTGTTCGGGTCCTCCTGTCGAGTTTCACTTCAAGGCTTCTGAGAGGTGGACGTGGCCCAAAAACCAGGAGCCCCCATCCTGAGGGATTACAATGTATCTGGCTCCGAAACATGATGATGATCATTCTTCCCATGGGGAGATTCTTGTCCACCTAAAAGTAGTCCTTTCAGTAGCTTTTCAACAAATTTTAGTTGAAGGAGAGTGCCAGGAGCTTTGACACATTTTCTCTGAGTTACATCTTTTATTCAGTATCTCGTAATAACCCGCTTTCATCCTCTCTCTCCCTACACTGTGCTGGTAGGCTGGGCACCCCACGTATTTTCATTGTATTCTACCGGCTTTCCCCGATGAGGGAGAGAGAAAAGAAGGAAACGTGTACAGAAATAGAGAAAGGCCCTACAGATGACACACTCGCTTCCTGGATGGATATCTGGCTTTTGAATAATTCACACAGCAAACTATTTTCTAGGAATCTGGCACTTTATAAATAGACATTGATTAAATCTGTTGTATGAGTGAATGAGTGAAGGAAGGAAGGAACAAACAAATGCCTGCGCAACAGATACCTTTTGTGTTTCCTAAACCGTGTTATCCTTTGGACCTGTATATGAAAATTGATACCCTGTGTATTCATAGGTCGCCTTGATTTATGTGCCTGCTTGACTATATTTTAGTAACGGTGGTGCCAATTTGTAGTCTAAATTTAAAGTAAATTATTCATTGCCTCAACAAATCAGGAGAGACGTTCTGGTCATTTTCATTCGGTGGGAGCCATCCAGGGGCAACCACTCAAGGGCAATTTGACCATCCATTACTGCACGCGTGTGGTGTTTGCAGGTGCAACTTCAAACCGACATAGGAAGACGGTCCCTATCACACCGGAAGTTGTACGTTTCTCTATTTACAGAGCATTAGGAAGTGTTCGTGTTGATTCAGGGACCTAAGGAAAACATGGACTTCATCAAGAATAGTCTGCATACATTGTAGACAAAAGTTTCTTTTTCTCCAGCTTTTTATTATTCTTCAACCTTAAATATGCAGATAAATGCAATGTGTTTCACTCAGAGAAAATCCGGTCCAGTTCAACTGCCTTTGCTGAAATGGTTTTTATTCTCCGAGCCCTCAAGGTGTGCTCCTCTTTGGCCCTAAGCCCTCCAGGCGCTGGCTGGATGCGGACAGCGCAGGGCTCCCGAGATGCAGTTATGGCTCTTTCAGAGAAGCAAATGAAAATGTAAACGTGGACTAGTCTTTTGCACGACAAAAAAGTTTTTTGAGTTCTGATTCATTAACACAATAATTTGCTTACTTTATTCGTGAAACTTGATATTAAGTTATAGGCTATTCCTTTTAAGATGGAATATTCTAGAACTGAGCAAAGCAGACGTTCTATAAATGAGGCCTCTCTGACAAGAGATAATTGTTAAAAAAAATTGGGGGAGGGGGTGCCTGGGTGGCTCAGTCGGTTGGGCGTCCGACTTGGTTCGTCTCAGGTCATGATCTCACGGTTTTGTGGGTTGGAGCCCCGTGTCGGGCTCCCAGCTGACAGGGCGGAGCCTGCTTTGGATTCTCTGTCTCCCTCTCTCTGCCCCTCCCCCACTTGCGCTATCTCTGTCTCTCTCAAATAAATAAACTTAAAAAGTTTTTTTTCTTACATTTTTTTATTTGAGGGGTGCCTGGGTGGCTCGGTCGGGGTAAGTGTCCAACTCTTGGTTTCTGCTCAGGTCATAAACTCACAGTTGCATGAATTTGAGCCCCATGTCAGGCTCTGCATTGACAGTGTGGAGCCCGCTTGGGATTCTGTCTCCCTCTCTCCCTCTGCCCTTCCGCTGCTATCCCCCTCTCAAAATAAATAAATAAACTTAAACATTTTCTTTTTTATGTGAGTATAGTTGATACACAGTGTTACATTAGTTCCAGGTGTCCGGCATAGCGATTCAATTTCTATTCGTTATGCTGTGCTCACCACAGTTGTAGCTACCATCTGTCACCATGCAACGCTCTTACAGTACTAGTGACTGTATTCCCTCTGCTGTGCCTTTTATTCCCATGACTTATTCATTCCATAACTGGAAGCCTGTATCTCCCATGACAATCATTAATTTTTGGTATATGGCTCTATTTTTCAAAATCTGTCACTCTTGAAATATTTCCTAGAACTCATGTGGCCATTTGCATTTAGAAGCATTGTCGCCGGGATGGGGAGCAAGCTGTACCCCCGTTGAGAAGGACCTTCCTCGTGGGGCTGAGACTACAGGTTTAGAGTCAGAAATGGCTCGACTCATATCCTCACCGGCCACTTGGCATCTGTGACACCGTAGGAGAACCTACTCAGTGTCTCCGCCATTCAACTTCCTTGTCTGAAAAATGGGGATGAGCAGGGCCTTCTCACCGTCGTGTAGCAGTTCAGTGAGGAAAGCCTATAGCAAGAGTCCCAGGACATGCCAGGTCTGAAAACGTACTGGATACAGCTCCCATGCCTCATTTGTAGTTGCTTATAAATAGGTCTTATTTACTGCTGGTGATGTATTCTTAGCACATA